GAACAAATCCAAAAGGATCCCTATGATTCCAAGGGTTACACACACACAAGACCACAAGCATACCTGTCTTTCAAGCTTCCTCCAGGCAAGCACAACAAACACCAAGACCCAGGAAGAGAGCCCTGAGTCACCCTCAGTAGAGTCGCGGATCTGCCTCCAGATCGGCCACCTGCTTCTCCCAGGCATCATGGTGAACTTCAACCAAAGCCACGGATCGTCAAAAACATGGTGAGGCTTCGACAAAGCCATGGCCACAGCTCTGAAGCCATAACGCTGCGACGCACATCCAAACGCTGGCGCCCTGAAGCCATGGCCCCAAAAACCCAGCGCATGGAACTTCAATTCCTCCCTGGCGACGCCAGGACCGTTGGACCCTTCATGACCTTTGCCAAAAAACCAACGTGTTAGTACTCAGTCAAGAAAAGAAGGCTTCATATCGAAAAACCTATCGCAGGCAGCGGGCACTGGCCCTCCATGGCCCATCCATTGATCCGGAATCGGGGTGACCTGGAATTGGAGACGGAGCGCCACAGCCGCGCACGAACGCCCAAGCACACCAAGGTGCAGCTTGCCCGATTTTCGGAGGCGACGGAAGAGTTTGTAGGACTTGTTTTCCAGGTAGTCCTGAGACGAGGTGCTCTCAAAGGTTCTGAAACCTGTTTCGAAAGCAGAGGTTCTGGGGGTAACCAAGACTCAAAGGCATTTCTCTTCAAGGTATACTGCGATATCGCTGATACTTTGGGCATTGAGGGCGATGAAACAAAAAGAATGTTTGCCTGAGAAGAACGGCCAGGTCAGCTGGCACCAGTGTTTGCATCCGCTCTTCGAATGAAATTCAACCTGAGTGCGATGTGACAAACCCAAAACTCCCACGCGACCTGGGACATGTATCAATCAAGGGCCTTCTTTTCAAAGTAAGTAGGGTCTAAAAAGTGTCCTTCTCTTCGGAAATACCGGCTTCCCCCCAAAAAGGAAAAATAAACAAATAACACAATCCTGACACGTCTTCCGGTCGTCTAAAAGGGCTCCGATGGTGAAACAGTTGTTCACGACAAGGGCGACCTCAACCACAACAACCTCAACCACGACGACAAATCAGCGACCAAAACCGGCCAAATTGCGTTTTCAAGCCTCGGGAAAAAAACAAAATGGACGTCTGTGGCCAAATTGTTTTTTCCAGGCCCGGGAAAAAACAAATTCAGTCGGTGGCCAAATTGTTTTCTCCAGGCCCGGGAAAATGCAAATTAAAAGTCTGTGGCCAACCTGCTTTTTCCAGGCCCGGAAAAAAACAAATTGGAAGTCTGTGGCCAAATTGCTGGAAGTCTGTGGCCAAATTGCTGCTGGTTGCTTCTACTGGCTGCTGTGAGGGTTAGTGTCCGCAGGCGTCGTGGTTAGGGACTTGCAGTCGGGGTTGGTGCCTGCACAGCGTGGATATTGTACACCTAGTCGGGGTTAATGATTGTAAAGCGTGGTTAGGTAATTACAGGTGCTCCAAAAACACACACCTCCGCGAACCGCTCCGCTGGCCTTGTACGCGCGCGGTCGGGCCGACAAAAAGACCTCCGCGGTCGAAGAGACGGTGCTTTCGCCGACGTGGCGGTGGTGGCGGTGGACGAGGAGCGAGCGACGGGGTGAGGGCTGGGAAGTGGTTCAAGTGTGACAGGGGGACTTCATGGGAATTAATGGGAATGAAGAAGCATATGGGAATCAAATGTTGAACCTTGCCTTCCAGAAGTGAATTGATTGATTCTTTATGAGGTGACGTGCCGGCATGAGTTCTTCTATCTTTGTGACTTGCCAGGAGGCGACCTCCAAGATGGTTGAGATGTCTTCTCTTCTGAGGGCGTACGGGACAAAAAGGGTGATCCCCTGGCCCAATGGGTTTTGGGTCTCTTTCCCTTCTTTCCGGGGGTCTCTGGGAGGTCTCCCTAATTTAAATTGACACCCAGTCGAGTGGTGCCAGGTGCTCCTGACGGAGCACTGATTTCTTCGACGTCGCAACCGACGGACGGAAGACTCCATCCAAACAGCTAAGCTGGTGGCTGGTGAGTGACATCAGTGAGTGACATCTCGCTTGACCAACATCTCCCACCCTGAAGATTGCCAACATACCTATGATTCTGTGAAAATGCACAAGGTTGCGTCCTCGCTCGACTCAAGGCAAGCACCTATAGGAGCCAGAGACTCGATCGGGGCTTGTGTCCACCGGAAAACGAATCTTGTTCTTGCTTGTTGGGTCTGTTGCGGTTCCCCCGATTTCATAGTGGTAGCGGAGCCCGGTTCCGGCCGGGCTGGTTTTTGGGGGAAACTCTTTTTCTTGGTGGACCCTGGGCCCCCCGTCTGGTTAGGTTTTTGGGATGGCCGAGCGCACGGTCGTCCCGCCTTCGGATGGCGACTTGGATGAGCCACCAGGCAGCGGGTCGCCACCTGCTGGTTCGTTTGGGGCTCACGGTGGGCAGGACGCACTTGGGAGTGACCGGGAGACCTTCGCTCGGTTCCAGCGCTTTGTTCAGATGGAGCGTGAACAAGAAGGTAGCGGTCCGCTACGTCATAGGCGCCGCCGTGAGAGGGTAGAAGATGATGGCGATGATAGTGGAGAAGGGGATGGACAAACCCAATCGAGGACTATCACATCAAGGCCCAGTTGTGGATCGCGACAACCAAGGACAAGGCAAAGTCGCGAGGGCCCTTGTTGTTGAAGATGCTCACCGGAGCACCCTTCGAGCTGTACAAGCACTAGGCAAAAGATCCTCATGGCTCGAAGATCCACGAGGTGCTGAGTGTCTTCTTGAAGATATGGACAAGCCCGAACGATTCGGAGATGACCAACTGGAGCACATGTTGACGGCTATGTCCCGGATTACCTACCACCTCAGGAGACAGAAGACTGAATCCTGGAGGGAATACTTTGCCAAGTGGGACAATGCCATCCGCAAGGTTCAACAACACAAGATTGCGCTCCCGCCTGAGTATGAAGGCTTCTTGATGATCAATGGGCCACAGCTGACAGAGAGCGACACCAAGGCACTGTTGAACTACACCCACGAAGCCCACCTCCATCAAGAGCTGGTTCAGGAAGAATGAAACCAAGCTGTCAGCTTCAGAACTTGGAGCTGATCGCAAGAAGGCAGCTGGCACCTTTTACACTGAGTATGATGGGGTGTATGCCACCGAGGATGCCACCGGTGGCACCGTGGCAGAGATTCTCTCTACCTACCTTCAGCAGAAGAAGACCTACACCCAATCGATCCGGGACAAGAAAAGCCGAGAACTTGCCCGAGGCTATGGACAAGGCCGTCGAACGACATTTGGAGGTTCCCATCGAGCAGATTGCGACCGACCTCTACGTCCCGAGGACACGCTGCCGACAATGTGAACACATCAAAGACCAACGAGACACACCACTTAGAGAGTACACCGGAGGTGCATTTTGCGGGCTGCCTGGAGGTTGAGAAGTTCGAGTACATGAACGCTTGAGATGACCGGAACAAGAACACCTGAGCCGATGAACCTGAGGACCTCGACCGAGGACCACGCCGACTGTACAGACCTAGCTAGTGGATCCCCCGTACCGTCCGACCGCCTGGTCATATATGGAGAGTGACACTCTTGTGGGTTTGGGAATTGGTAGGACTGGTTGTATGGGTGTTGGTGGTTTGTTTTTCTATGAAAACATGTTTTGCGATTTGGTATCCCAGTACTCCCAACATACTCCAGATGATGCCACCTGTGCCACCGTGGACACCGGGTGCCAGAGACTTGCCATTGGAGCCACGACCTTGAGGAAGTTCGGTGAACATCTATGACCGGAGCTGAGAATCACGATTCACCCCGTGACCAACAGATTCAGGAGCGTCCAACAAACGTCGATTACCACACCAAGGTGGCCAGTTTCTTGAAACCTGCGGTCTTCGACAGCGATGAGAGCACCAACGCTCCGTTCCTCCTGTCCCTCAGCTTCCTACTTCATTGTCATGGTGACAATAGGTTTATGTTTATGTCTTGAAAATGGGCTCCAACTTCGACTTCGTGGGAACCACAAACCAGTCCCCCTGCATCTTGGACCGACTGGAGCACTTCGCATCCCACTTCAACAGTTCACAGGACTCCAACTGACCGCACTTCAAAGAGCCCAATCAACTGACATCGGAAAGCCACTCCCGGAATTCGAGGTCCTGAAATTGAATGAACGTGTGAAACCGCCGGAACTTGACAAGATATCTCGGCATCGACCTCACTCGACCTCTCCGCTCGCCATGCAGAACTCCGGCCAGAAGCGCAGCCGACATGCTCTTTCGGAGGAAGCGAATTCCAGAGGAGAAGACTGTGAAAGCATGGACACAATTGACCCGACGCTTGCTGGTCGTGCTCATGCCCCTCCAGTACCTGTTCGGGCGCCTGCTGGAGACCATCACTGGAGCACAGTCACAACGGCGGGTCCTAGCTCGCCTGATCGAACCATGTGACCAAGATGGCCAAGGAAGAAATGGCTCGTCGCGAGGAGGACAGCTTCACGGTCATCAGCGATCTGGATCAACGGCCGATGAGGTCGACCGGATCCCCGAAGAGGTCATCGAAAGTCGATCACTCTGGTGAGGACGCTTCGCTGCGACCAGATCGACGGCTTGCCGGGCATCGACCTCATCACAGGACCACGACCTCGTTGTCGCTGTGGCCTCCAAACGAGAGTCCACCTGAACGCCGATCCGAACCACGAGGAGGAGATCTACTTCCGGTGCCCACACTTCCCGGGATGCCAATGCGAGTTCAATCAATGGGCACCATGCCAGCCATTGAAAGATGGGACCAGCTCGAAATATTGCCAGCAACCGGGCGGCAGCCCCAAGTCCTATGCGGAGGTTCTGGAAATGATCATCTGTCCCCACGCGTCAACACACCGGAAAAAATCGAATGCCTTCCTGACCAAGGTGACCTGCCGCCGCTGCAACGAGGTGATCCGCCAGGACAAGAAGTAAGAAGGAGCTCCTCTCCAAACCGAACGTAGTGTACACGAAGGCAGATCAATGCCAATATGGACTCCGTGGAGAATCTGGCCACCCTCAAAGAAAAAGGACCGGCTTTGCTACCAACAGTCCCGAGATCGCCAAGGCCCTCAGTGCCCCCGGCGATCATCAACATGAAGTCATCATTGGTGGCAACAAGTCCAAGAAAGCACAGGTCTACCCAGAAGGCCTTCGAACGGCCATTTTGGCCGCTTATGCTCAATCCATTGGAACGGAGGTCTACACCACCACATCTGATCAGATGTTCCTCGAGAACGAACGCTTGAACTCACTTCTGACTGTTGAGCTGATGGTTGACACCGAACTTCATCCTGGACAATCCCATCAACCTGGACCTGAACCGGATCGACTACCAGAACGGATCTTGGAAACTTCACTATGTAATCCTCGAGCTCCTGAACATGAACTCCGCCTAGGTGATAACCAAACCAAAGCGAAGGTCTTCTACCTAGCCCGGCCTGGGAACTACATGCCGAAGAACAACCAGACGATGGCGAAGAACCTCAGGAAGAAGATGGTGACGAACAAGGAGAACGACCAAATGCACCACTACATTTTGAGCGACGCTTCACTCTGGACCGACTCCTCCATAGAGCGCACGTCGGGATGACACCCAAGTCCAGACCGCTTTGTTCGCATACTTCGTTACGCAAAGGCAAAACCAGAAGTCATTGAAGCGGCAAAGCAATTGAAATGTAGTGTATGTCAACGACACGCTCAGGTTCGACCGGCCCGACGAAGTGCTCCACCCAAAGAGCTGAGCTTCAATGAGTGTGTTGGAGTGAACGTAGTCTTTTTGCCAACATTGGGCAACCAATCGAGACCGGCACTGAACGTGATTGATTGGTCAAGCAAATTTCAACTCATGATTCCTTTGCCCAACAAAAAGCCAGGACAAGTCCGAGAAGCTTACCGGCGCTGGCTATGTTCGGCCCTCCAAAACGAATGGCCCTGGACCTTGGCCGTGAGTTCCGACGTACCTTTGCAGAACAAGTCGAACAGGATGGCACCTACATCGACCCAGCAGCTGTGGAGGCACCTCATCAAAGAGGTATCACAGAGAGACATGGGAAGACCTTCTAGTACATCCTCCAGAAAACTATGGACACCTACAGCTTTGGAAACATGCAAGAGTGGGAAGAAATGATAGACCTCACTACGATGACCAAGAACCGCATGATGAATGTGGGAGGATTCAGTCCCCGTCAACGTGTGTTAGGCTTCAACCCCTTTTTCCCTGGAGGACTACTCAATGGAGATGATGGACACCGAAACAGAGAAGATACTCCAACTCCAAAGATGGGAGATCTCAGTATTGAGAGATCCATGAACTTCGAAAGGCGGCTGCCCAAGCTTTCATTGAAGCCGATGCAGATAATGCCTTAAGAAGAGCTGAAGAGCTATTTCCTCCGGACCAAGACCAATCCTGGAATACGACATTGGCGAGATTGTCTACTTCTACCGGATGGGAGCAGACAAAAAGCTAAAGTTCAAACCTGGGTCTATTTGGCTAGCATACCAACCAAAATCTGGCCAAAGCTAGTCCAGAACGTATTCGGAGGGCATCATCAGAAGAGAATCTGGCTCTCTCCGGGTGGCTCGACGACATCGTGAACATCAAGAAGGATCTCAGTACGGAGCCAGTCCGAGGTTTCCTAGACCTATCGGATCAACCACTGCCACCAGACCTCGAAGACGGAGACCTAGGTGACATGGATTATGAACCTTCAGAACCTCGCGAAGAAGAACCGATGGAACTCCCAACTGCCTCTCTACCAGATGGACTTCAAGAACCTCTTGGATACCCCCTCCAGCGAAAAGATATCGCACCAAAGCACCACAAGAAAATCTTCATCGAGATCCACCTACGATTCGATGCCAGAAATTTCACAAGAACTGGATCAAGATGAACTACCTGCTGAGGAAGTACCAGGAGAACCACAGGCAGCAGTTCCCAATGAAGGAGCCGACGAAAACAACAAAATAGAGATTGATGAAGGAGAACAACAAGGGCAACCTCCTCTGAAAAGATCAAGACATGAGTCCTCGAGATCTACTTGAACAAGGTAGAAAACCTCATGAAGACTCGACAGAGAAAGGAGCTCCGCCTTCAAGAACTTAGCAACAAGAATCAAAAATGCTTCAAGGCAGCGATTAGCAGCGATTAGCAAGGAGTTCAACGATAACATCAACATCGGGGCGTACTCCATCGTCTCCCCCGAAGAATCAGCCAGAGTCGGACAAACGATGCCGCATCGAATCATGGAGAGCCGACTGGTTCTGACACCAAAACCACTGGAACCTCATGAAGTGGAACCGGCCAAACAAGAAGGAATCCTACTTGACTGGGATTCCGAGGAGCCCTGCAAGGCCAAAGCCAGACATGTGATGAAAGGATTCAGCGAAGAAGGATCGGAAGATATCGAGGCAACAACTCCTCAAGTCACCCGAGAAGGCACGCTCATGGTGGCTCAGCTGGTGGCAAGCCATCGCTGGAAGCTTGGATTCCTGGACTTCACCCAGGCGTTCCACAGTGGAGATGCTATCGATAGACTTCTGTATGCGACTACCCGGAGTAGCACCATGCCAACTCCTCAAGCTGGAAAAAGTGTGCTACGGGCTCACAGATGGTCCTTTAGCTTGGTACAACCACCAAAAGAAATTCTTGACAGGCCAACTGGAGTACCAACAATCGCTGGCAGATCCTTGCATCTACTACAAGCACAAGCTCAGCCCACAGACTGGAGAGCCGATACTCAGCGGCATCATCGCTGTTGCTACGGACGACCTTCTACATGGAGGTGACGAAGAACATCAACGAGCAATGGACCAGATCAAAACCAAATACAAACTTGGAAAGTTCCAGTATGGATCCGGAAATTTTACTGGAAAAATGTTCACCCAACAAGAAGACTCCAGCATCATCGTCAACCAGGAGAACTACATCCAGGAGAAGCTCTTGGAGATCAACCTGGAAAAACAACGAAAGAAAAAGAGATACACCTTTTGCGATGAGAAGGAGATCACTCAGCTTCGCGCCAGTGTAGGCGCCTTGGCCTGGCTCGCAAAAGAAAGCAGACCTGATATAGCAGGACGAGTGGCCTTGCTCCAACAGGTGTTTCCAAAACCTTGCATCAAAGACATCATTGAGGCGAACTCCATCACCCAGGAAGCCCGAAAGCATCCATCCAGCGGCATCAAGATTGCGCCTATCAACCAAAACAACCTGAGGATCGGGGTGGCCACCGACGCTTGATGGTCAAACGCCAGAAGCCACGAACAGCTCGAACATAGCTCTCACTGGATCCGACACCATGTCACACCCAGACGAGTTCCTTTCCACCCAGGAGCAGAACCAGGTCCAGATCTTCACGACTTCAACCAGGTCAAAGGACGATGACAACAAGTGAAGAGATACTAGAAGATGAATGGATGAATGGACAAAAGAGAATAATGTCAGAACCTGGTTAGAAACTACATGGACGGGCAAAACCACCTTGACAAAGCAGCTTCCAGGACATGAGCTTGAACATGAAAAGAACTGCAGCACCTTCCTCAAGCTCTTGAACTGCAGCAGCCAAGGAGGCTACGTGATGATCTTCTATGACAAAAGAATGGAAACTGAGGACCGACCTCATGTGGTCTCAGTGACGTCATGGAAGTCAACAAAGCTCAAAAGAAAGACGGTCAACACCCTGAGTGCCGAATGCCAGTCGCTGGTACATGGCATTGGCCATATCCACTGGCACCGCTACCTCCTTCTCGAACTGATGGGCACGACCTTGGAGTCCAAGGATTGGGAGCGGCATTTGGCAGCCATCCCCTACGTCTCAGCAGTTGATTCTCGGTCGCTATACGACTGCATCAACAAACTGGCTTGCACATACTCTCAGGTTGAGGACAAGAGAACGGCTGTAGACATAGCCATCTTGAAAGACGATCTTTATAGATCGGGGGGTTCCTTACGTTGGGTTGCTGGTGATAACATGATCGCGGACCCCTTACGAAAAAGATGAACTTGGAGTTTCTTAGATGTGTTTGCAACACTGGGTATTGGTCACTCTCCGAAACAGGCCATAGAACATAATGCACAACGCATGACGTTCTCTTGGTCTCGCTTGGCCGTTAGAGTAGGGCCGGTGTGAAAATGCACCAGGTTACGCCCTCGCTCGACTCAAGGCAAGCACATAGGAGCCAGAGACTCGATGGGGGCTTTGTGTCCACCGGAAAAAGAGTCTTGTTCTTGCTTGTTGGGTCTGTTGCGGTTCCCCCGATTTCATAGATTCATTCCAGTTTCAGGTATCCGGATTGTCGGACGGACGAGGGAAAAGACTGAGGGTACTGGACCCGCTCCTCCCGCATCGTCCAGCTGAGCGCGGCACCAAGTTGGACCGCGCTCGAATCTGTGGAGGATGGAATGAAACATCACCCTGCCGGCGCAGGAAGATGTCTGACCTGCTACCTGCTAGGGTTGAAACATGAGGTAGCTACACCTGCTACCATGTTAGGATGGCTGGATCCGGCTTGGATGGTACAAGAAACATCGGTTTGATATTAAACAAACACCCTTCTTTTCAGTACAGGACTTGCTGGAAGTGTTCGAATGTGAGCAGCGTGGTACACGTAGCAGACTATACATAAACTCTTTCAGGTCCTGATCCATCTGGTGTTTTAAAAGGGGAATTGCCCAAAAACACCGTGAAATTGACTCCAGGCTCAGGGGGCAGGATATACTTGTGGTGTGGGTTGGTGGTTGTGAAATTCTGGACTAGCACGCGAAATCGCACCACAGACCCTCCATTATATACATATATATACATAGGGTTTTATCTAGTGGTGCCAGTGGCTGAACATGAATATCCAAGAGCAAAAACAAAAATTCTCCAAATGCAGGGGTGGTGGAAAACATGGAGGGGTGTCAATCTTTCGATTGCTTCCCCAGTTCTATGCACTTCTGTCCACAAGCTTCCCGTGGCGGAACAGCTGCTGGTGTTCCTCTCCTTGGGTTTCTCTCTCTGCTGGGCCGCGCGATGGGCCGTGATCTCCCGAAACAAAGCCAGGACGCCAGGGTACACCTGCCAGGACGCGACCCAGCTGGATCGCGGTTATGCTTCACCACAAGGATCAAAATCATCAAGAACCTGAGACCTGCTCAAGATTTCCCCACAACGCGTCGCTTGAAAAACACATGCGCCGCTTGAAACGCGCCCCGCCCCATGTTCTGTTTCTCCGGGCACGCCCGGCAAAAGTAGCATCCCTTGGACTGCAACACCTCCCTCTGCATTCGCGGGGAAGAATTCCCGTCCCTTTGCACAGGCCAGGCCAAGCTTATTCATAAGTGGCGCTTCAAGATTTGCCTCTGTTGGGCCTCCAAATCTCTCGTTCTCTTGCCCAAGACCTCCAACACCGTCGAGACATTGTTGGGCACATCCTCAGATCTTAAGTGACAACTACACAGATATATATAACGTCTCAAGCGCTTCTTTTCTCCATAGTCGAGGGAGTGTGCACAGGGCCATTTGGCCAATCGTGTTCCATCTTCACCCACCTCTTTCACTTCTACCCATCATTTGCTGTCGAGCTTTGCGTGCTCACGTAACAGGAAAAACCAAATCTTCTCTGGTATACCTGCTGCTGCAAATCTGCTAGTAAGGTCCAGCGCCCAATCAAACAATCCAGCACCTTCAAACACAGCTTTCTTGATGACTGGAGGGAGCATTGGCATGAACTGCACCGACCAAGCCTCCTGGATGTACACCTCCATGACCTTTGAACTGATCCAGCGACCCCTGCGACGGGTCATCTCAGCGTTTTCGCTGGTCATCAACATCCACGTAGCTCCCCCTGCCCGGAGGCTCCCCAGATCGAGGCCTCAGGAGAGACCTCCGGGCAGGTTTGCCAAACCAACTGCTTGCAGCAACTTTTGAAAACGCAACCTCATGGTTTGTCCCGACATCGGCCACAGTCTGCAAAGAGGGTCGAGACCTCCAAAAGCCAGAACCAAAATCCTCAGAAGCTGGGGCTGATCAAGTCTTGCTACCTGATGCCTAGCAGCTCTGAACCTTGTCTTCGGTTCAGCTATTTGAAGGAGGGCGTAGTCGGTCGAGTTCTCCACGTCCATGGGGAGGATCAACTGCTTTCAAGTAGCAGCCAAAACCTCCCCTATCCTGCTCAAGCTGCCCCAAGAAAGGGCGATCACACCAGCCACCCTGGCCCAACCCCAGCTCAATGAAGTTGAAAGGATGCACAACAATGGTAATGCGAGGTGGTGTTGGAGGTTCTTGTCTCAACCAGGCGTAGCCCAGATCCCAGGCCTGTTGTAAGGACCTGCGAATCCGGGGACGTTTTCCCGAGATGGCATTGATGGTTTCAGCATAATGGTTGTATGGACGGCCTGCTCTGAAAATCTCTCGGCCGTACTTTTCCAACAAAATGTTCAAGCCATCAATATTTGGCTCTCCAACAAAAAGCAGTTCCTCAAGGCTCCATCCTTGATCATGAAGCCAAGCATCAAACAAACTCAAAAGTCGACACCGCTGCTTCTGTGTCACTGGGAGAACGGGTCGTCCTTGAGGTAGCTCGAGATCAGTCCTCAGTTCCGCTCGCTTCCGGTCCTTTGCGTCAGGAGGCTCCAGTGGACATCCATGGCGCGGCCTGGCAGCTACACTACCTACGGGGTGCAGAGTACCAAGGAGGAAAATCCAAAGGAGAAGGAAGCAGGGGAACCCATTGCGGCGAGGATGAGGCATGGACAGAGGCCTTAGTCTTCTTTAGGGGATCCGGAGAATGCTCAAGCCAAGAAGGAAGGCAAGGAAGGCGAAGACCCTTGTGACGGAAAAGGCGGTATGCCAAAGAGGGCCAGAGATTCCATAGAGCCATTGGAAACCCTTCTCTTGCGGGAAAAACCCATAAGAAAT